TTTTTATATGGGTTTTGAGGAAGTTGAGGAGGTGGGTGTGGTTAGAAGTTGGGGAGAGAGTGAGGGTTGGGTGAGGAGTTGATGGGGTTTTGGATGCGCTTGGAAGTGTTGGGTTTGGGATTGGAGAGAGCACTGGTTTTGGGTTCTTAGGGGTTTGCTCCAATAGTGGTATGGTTATTGGTCTTCTCATCTTCTTATATGTGTGTGTATTTAGCCTAGTTGTGTTTTTGTGTTTTGTTGATTTTCTGTACTTGCTATGTTGATTTGGTTTCAGGGGAAAGTGAAACAAATTGTTGGGTCAACCCTTTCGGATTCAAAGGGGGATGGGTCTGCTCTTGTTACCAATTTTGTGTCAGATAAGTCAGCGGAGGAGTATGCAAAGATGTATGAAGAAGATGGCCTTACAGGTGGTCATGCGATCATGCTTGGAGCTGAACCTTTGAGCAGAGCTGCAGCCATTGAAGCTCTGCATGCTTATCCTGGTGGGTCTATGGTTGCCTTATTGTTCTTGTAGATTCTATTGCTGTGTTCGAATTTTTGGGAATACTAACGGAACAAGTGTAACTCAATTGGTATCAATGGAACAAAAGGTTAACGGAGAGACAGAGTTAAAAGGCTAACGGAAGAATACTAACGGAACAAATAATTAAAAGGCTAAAAGTAAATAATTACACGTGTCTCATTCCTATTGGCGGGTACACCAGCCAGCTGGTGTACCGGGTACCTGCAAAAATTTCTCCTACAAATGACATTCTCATTTTAATTTTAAGGGAAGAAAAATGTTATGTTAATAAATTTTAATTTTTTTAGATTAAAATGTTTAGAAAATTAAATCACAAATGTTGAAACAAAAATAATATCAAAAAAAATTAAAAACAAAAAAAATTTAGGAGTTAATCATTCTTAAACAGTTTAATAAAGTTGCGGGACTTAGGACCTAAATGGCATGGTGACAAGGGTACACACTAAACCTCTTATACACTCACAAGTACGCCACAAGTTGTGTGGCAACTTTACACCCTTCCAAGTCCACCTTTATCGCTCTCACATTGAGTTACAAACCCACGTTGCTACGCACAATGATTTAACTTTCAACATTTGTGTATATTAAATGTGAGACGAAAGGATACCTCGCCAATGTGGGAGTAATAATTGTCATTTGGCAAGAGAAGTCCAATTTATTTTTTTAATAAAGTTTGAGGTGAACCTCACATTGTTTCAACCATAATGATTAAACTTGTCAAAACTCAACATCAAAACTGCCATGATTATCTTCAATGACCTCATGTAGAACCACTACTACAATAATATAAAACAACGCTACATGACGCAAAATGAAAAAACCGTTGTGCTTTAAAAAACCATTACAAACCATGACTGGTGTTATAATAACCGTCGTTGTGGAGTCCGAAACCCTTAGTTGATTTTAATAGCATGACGGTTGAAAGAAGTCACCGTCGTCTTTCAAATTAGTTGATTTTAATAGCACGACGGTTGAAAGAAGTCACAGTCGTCTTTCCAAGATGGGCTAATAAAAATTTCACTTAAGTGAATTTGCGGCCCTTCGCGAACCCCTCTAGTTCGCATCTTTTCAATCTCTGTCTAAAGTTCCTAATAATTGTGAAGCTCCAAACCCTAGCCTCCTTTCTTTTGAAATTCTCGGCCCTTCGTGCTCTGTCTTGTGGATCTCGTTGAACCTGTCCTTCTTTAAAAGCAATAGACGACAGTTCGTTTCAAAAAACTGTTGCCTTTACAGTTAATAGACAACGGTTTGTAGTAAAAGCGTCATTTTTACATTTAATATACGATGGTGCACCGTCGTAGTTTGTCATTCAAAAGATGTCAAATATAACGACGGTTTTCAATGCAAAAAGACGATGGTTTTCCCCCATCGTCTATTTCAATTTTTGTAGTAATGAACAAAACTCTTTAGCCTGCCTAAACTACACATAAAGCTTATGCACATCAAACACACTTCCTCACATGTAAAGAAAATTGTGTTGGGGAATCGTCCAGATGTGACCCATATGCATGTGGGCCCCCAAAGGGAGCCCCGCACAGGGGCATATTAGCTCAGTGCAAATCATAATTTTAAAAATTTGTTTCTTAAGAATTTGGATTAAAAGATAATTTTAAGTACAAATTTTCTCTGATTGGAATCAGCGGGGTCTTGGTGTAGTTATAGAAACATGAGAGGGTTGGGCACAATATATATATTTTTTTCCATTTGCTTAAGAAGCAAACAATCATAAATTCCGTATTTTAAGAGTATTTCATCGGTTTGAACTTTTCTTCTCTCATTTTTATTTTCGGTTATCTATTCATAAAAAAGGAACCATTTGTATTTGTGTGTAGATTTGTATCTTAATTGTTCAAACTGAAGTGTGTCTGTTCTTCTTTTGAAAATATATGCTTTTGAAATTTCAGCTCAGAGAGAAGTGGATATCCTATCTAAGGTGCATATAATGAACGTGGAAGTTTGCTGCACTAGTTGGCTATCAAGGTGCCATCTTCTAGAACTTTGCCGCTGTAGGGGTTGGTAAAGTCATGGAAGTTACTGTTCTACCCTCACATTGGTCTAGGGTAATAAAAAATTGCTCCATGTTTGTTCAATATAACCTAATTTTTGCATAATTGAATCAGTTGTTTTTCTACAGGCGGTTTTATTTTCTTTTAGTTTCCTGCTGAAAAATGAGGTATAGGCTTGTATTTGTTGCACAGTGTGGCTTATGTAGGAATATAACCAAGTTAGTGATGCTTGAATATGTTGTTTTGAGCCAATTCATTGGGGAGCTTTTTATTTGCGGCAATGTGGGCGGTTTAGAGCGCTCCATGGATGCCGTGCATATTTGTCTGCATTTACACTGCTGTGTACCGCTCCCTTGTTATAATAATTCTGTATGAAGTGAATTTTCATTTTTGTTGTCAATAATAATACACTTTCGTGTAGGGATCATCATTTGGCCCGCGGGCTCGGGGGCCCATGGAGCCCCGCCCGGCCCATCGAGAAAAAGCCCAGCCCGGCCCGTTATGGGTCATGGGCCAGCCCGGCCCATCAAAGAGTGGGCTAGGCTTGGGCTAAGGGGTCTAAAGCCTAGCCCGGCCCATAGGCCCGGCCCAGAGAAGCCCATAAAAATCCGGCCCGTTTGGCCAATCAAAGCCCAGCCCGCTTGGCCCATGATTATAATGTATAATTATAATTATAATTTATTTTAGTGGGTGTGGGTGGAGTTATAACGGGTGTAGTAATTACAACGGTAATGTTTTCCCATATATATATATATATATATAACAAGACAAGTCATTAACCCTAACATTTTCTCAAGCCTTCATCTCACTTTCTCTTCTGCGCCGCACACTCTGTTGAAGAAAGTAATTTCCTCTCCAGCTCTAGTTTTCAACCAAAACTCACATCCATCCAAGCTTTTGGATTTGCACTGTAAGTCTGCGATCTCAATCCTTAACTTTTATTTGTATGTTGGATGAATGTTCTTCAGTTTTTTTGTTTTGTTTTGGATGTTGGATGGATCATGGATTGATGGATGTGCTGATCAACTTCTCCTGTACCTCACTCGTAAAGAAGTTGTAGATTTTGTTATTAGAGCTGAACTGCCATTTCAATTTGTTGAAACTCATGATTTTAAAGGTTTAATTCAACGGGCATTTTGTCCTCAATATAAAGGAATTTCAGCTTCTACATGTAAAAGAGATGTTATGAGAAAATTTGGTATAGAGAAGAGTGATTTGCATGCTGTTTTTGAAAAACTAGATTCAAAAATTTGTTTAACTTCTGATGTTTGGTCATCCCGACAGAAAATGGGTTACATGTCACTTACTGCACATTTTATTGATAAAGAGTGGTGTTTGAATAAAAGGGTAATTTGCTTTAAAATGATTGAGTACCCACACACCGGAGAGTCACTTGCAACTCATATATATGATGAATTGTTATGTTGGGGCATTCAAAACAAAATATTTACTCTATCATTAGATAATGCATCAAATAATGATTCAGCTGCAAGTATACTTCCATCCTCTCTATTGCTTGATTCTGTACAACAAAAATTGTTTCATGTACGTTGTTGTTGTCATATATTGAACTTAATTGTACAGGATGGACTGAAAGTTTTATCTCCATCTATTGATAAAATTACTGATATTGTACGTAGCATGAATTCCTCTAATAAGAGACATGAAATTTGGGTTAAATGTTGTAGTGATTTCAATATGGGAAAGAAAAATATAGACAATGATGTGCCTCATAGGTGGAATTCCACCTATGAGCTTTTATGTGTAGCTATAAAATATAAAGCCCCTTTGCATAGGTATGTTCTAAAGGTAAATGAATCACGTTCTTGCAATTTGCAAGTTCCTAGTGAAGAAGATTGGGCAATAGCTCACCTTGTTAGTGATTTTTTACAAATCTTTCATTCTTCAACAAAGATATTTTCTGGTGTGTATTATCCTACTTCGAGTCGTGTTATTAATTGTTTAATCGATATTCATGGATTATTTGCTGCATATGCTGAAATTTCTATTTTTAAGGATGCTTTGACTGAAATGAAAGCAAAATTTGAAAAATATTGGGGAGAGTTTCCTACTGTGTTTTGCTTTGCTACTATTATGGACCCCAGGTTTAAATTATTTGCAATTAGTGAATGGTTAAGGATGATGGGTATTGATCAACCAACCATTGACTTAAAAGTTTCATCTTTAAAGGCTTTATTATTTCAATTCTTTGATATATATAAGAGAAGTGTAATATCTGATGTAGCCCAAAATGTGGAATCTTCCATTTCAACTTCTAGCACCTCGAGTCAAACTCTTGGTTCTATAGTTATCCCTATTGTGAACCGTAATTACTCTATGCAGGGCTTAAAAAGGGCAAAGCTATCATCTTCATCTTCATCTTCCTCTTCCTCTTCCTCTTCCTCTTCTTCCACCACGTCTGAGCTACAACTTTATCTTGATTTACCAACAATAGAGGTTGCTGATGATAGTCAATTTAGTCTTTTGGGTTGGTGGAAAGGCAATAAATCATTATATCCTATTGTTTCCCTTATGGCTCGTGATTTACTAACTGTTCCAGCTTCCACTGTAGCATCAGAATATATTTTTAGTGCAGGTGGTAGAGTTGTATCTGAGAAGAGGGCAAGATTGAGTCCAAATACAATAGAAGCATTAATTTGTTTGAAAGATTGGACCTTAGCAAATTCAAGGATGCAAGATGTAGCACAAGAAGAGCAAAGCGCAGAAGAATTAATGAACATTAGAGCCACAAGACCAGATTGGATGACATCCAGTGGAGATGGAGAGGTTGACAGTGAATCTGAAAATGAGATAATTGGAAGTTGAATTGTTTAGTAAGGGTTTAGTAACAATATAACATTTTTGTTGAGGTTGTGGTTGACAAATCTGAGACTATTGAACTATTCGAAGTTTAATTGTTATGTAATAACTTAATCTTTTTATTTGGGAGGCTTTAATTTTTTTATATATTTATTTTATAAAAAAACAGTTTATTAATTTATATTGTTAGCCCATTTAGGCCCGGCCCATTTAGGCCCATTTGGCCTGGCCCGATGAAGCCCATAAAAGCCTAGCCCATGGGGCGGGCTCGGGCTTTGATTTTGTAGAAAAAGCCTAGCCCGGCCCAGCCCGTATATTTCAATTAATTAATAAAGCCCGGCCCGGCCTAGCCCAAGCCCAATAGGCTTG